TCTGAGAGAAAATAAAACTTCTTGACCAAAGTGATAATGAGTCAATAGTTTATAGATCAAACTTTAAATTTAGCCATTTATGGATACATACAGGTATCTGAATGTATTTTAGTTGTCCCAACTGGTTGCAGACTTGCAGTTGCTGCTAGTGAAAAAACTTTGTTTTATTTCAAAATTGCCGTAACTTGTTGCTAGTTTTCAGTTTTCTCAGAAATCAACTGAAACAAACACGTCTTCTTGACTTATTTTCATTTTTACGAAATAAAAACAGGAAACAGAAATTGTGCTAAACAGACCCAGTTTTAGATGGATTTTGAGTTTGCATTAAACTTTTACTCTCCTTGTTTTCCCCATGATGGTTTGATATCTGCTGTCTTCTGTCTGCTCTGTGTGTGTGTAAGAGAATTTTCTTGTGAACTTATAATTTAGTTAAGTTGGTGAACCTTGTCTTTTCTCTCTAATTTTCATCCTTGTGCACACGATATAAAACAGTGCTGTTATTCTGTTTCTGCTTATTTATTGATGTTTTGTCCTGTTCCATAGGCTTATTGGGGTCCTAATGCCACTGGTGGCAAAAATTCCAGTAACAAAATGCTCAAGCAAGCTGCATTGGCATTTGTTAAATGGATATTGGAGCATTGCCATAAATTTGAAGATACCAGAGAGAGCTGTTTTAGTGAACCTTTATTTAGGGATATGTTTCTTTCTGGATTTTCTGACCTAAATATCATGCACCCCATAGATGCCAATACCTCTGTCCAATCTCAGGAAGCCCGAGTTTCAGGTAGTCTCTCAGTGCTTCTCTAAAGTGTGCTTTATGCATGTGTATTCATCTGTTTGATTATTTCTGTCTTTTAATTCCTTTATGCTCATTGTGAAAAAGCCAGCCTTGGGCTTTTTGCAGTCTGCAGGAGTCTTAAATCCTTTTTTTTCCATTCTGAATTTTCCCTTGTCATACAATTCATTGGTCTTTTTCACAGCTTCCATGGGTTCACAGCCAGATACTACTCCATCACAATTGGGTCAAAATGGGGATAGCTATGCTGTTAATTCCTCTGATATGCTTCCTCCCAGAAGTCAGCTTTCTGAGCAAACCACTGGTAGAGAAGACACATGGACTAACAGAGTGAAGAAGAGGGAGTTATTGCTGGATGATGTCGTCAGTGGTTCTATCAGTACTTCTAGTGCCCATTCTGGCATTGGAAGTTCCTTATCAAGC